GTTATCGTGACAGGCCTATGTGATAAAAATCAAAAAGACAATTTAAAAGATGAATTAAAGCCCCTGCAAGGAACTTTAAATTTGTGTTGATTCTGGTGGCCCCTGCAGACGAAAGCGGTAGTGATTCCACCTCCTTGTTTATTGATTTCAAGAGGTATTGGACTGAATCCAACTTGGTGTCTAGCATTAAGAATAACTGTATAGAAATAGCCTGTTTGTTTATGTCGGTCATATAGAGGCATCAATACATCAAGACTGTTTCATAACCAGTTAAAAAGGCCTTGTAGTGTGTTTAACATACTTGATTAAATACTCTGATAGTTATGGGCAACAGTGGATGTTATATTTCAATATTGTGGTAATGTGATTGTACAGTGTTATTGTTTCAATATCCAAAATAAAATCTAACAAACAAAAGAGGATTTTTGCATACGTTTGCCAAATCAATATATCTGTATCAAAATCCGAAGCATATGTGTAAATGATTATCTGACACATGTTGCCCAGCTTTATATGGTGATATGTGTTTTGATATCTAATGAGGGATAAGAAGTTATATTTCCTAATCACACCACCAAATTGTTCACGGTCATTTACAATCATTAACATTGAAGGCCATCTGCCGAAAGAATAACTGCTGTCTCTGCAACAACAAGACTGTAATAATAAGATTGTAATGCCACTTATCAAACTATGCTATGTGTACCACTGGTAGTACGTGAGCTTCCTCTAGTGGTACATGGAGGAATAATTTTTATTTTTAAATGAATAAAAAAACATAACTGAAATGTAATTTTTAAAACATGTTTTGGATTCCCTGTTATATATTTTTCTTTCAGAATCAGCCTGCAACGTAGTCTTGTCTCGTCCTCGTTTTTTTTTTCCCCCACCAAATTCGCTCTGGTTCTTGAACCGGTTCCATTCAGCATTCAACAATAATCATCAATAAACGGTCTTATATTAGGGACAAACTGGCCGCCTATGGGAAGTATCCGTAGCTGAATAGGGTTAGCCTATGCTGTATTTTAATGTTGGCCATGATGGTTGTACTTGGAGAGACAAAGTGCCTAAAAGCATATACTGATAATACAAAATGATATATCAAACATCAAGCTGATGTACAGTGCATTATATCAAACACTCTTTGGTGCTGGAACAATTTTCTGGTTTCAGCTTCTCCAATGTGAACTAACATTGGAGCTTAATTTGTCTACGTCATTGATTTCTCATCTTGATTACAACTTGACCTGATTTTATTTCAATTCCAGGTGACCAATGAGATCACTCCCGTGCTGACGTACTCCTACATGGTCGTGCTGGTGCCGGCCTTCCTGCTGACGGATCTTCTGCGCTACAAGCCGGTCCTGATCATCCAGGGTGTCAGCCAGGTGGTCATCTGGCTCATTCTGCTCCTGGGCACCACCCTCCTCGAGATGCAGTTCATGGAGTTCTTCTACGGCATCACCATGGCCTGCCGCGTCGCCTACTCCTCCTACATCTTCTCCCTGGTCAGTCCAGTCCTCTACCAGCGTGTGGCCGGGTACTCGCGCTCCTCAGTCCTCTTGGGGGTGTTCACCAGCTCCGTGGTGGGCCAGCTGTGCATGTCCCTGGGCAACATCAGCTTCTACACCCTCAATGCTATATCTTTGGGTTTCGTCAGCTTTGGTCTGGTGCTCTCACTGTGCCTCCCTTGGCCTAAACGCTCCCTGTTTTTCAACCGGATGTGGAATCAGGAGCAAAGGGAACTGGCAGCAGTAGCCACCAAGTCCGAACTGGACAAAATTAACCCAACGCCATCCTCGGCAGCCCCCCCGTGCACTGCATCACGCTGGAAGGATTCTGTTATGGTGCAGATGCTGCTTGAGGTGAGAAACGTGGTGAGGAGGCCCAACCTGAGGCTCTGGTCCCTGTGGTGGGTGTTCAACTCCACAGGGTACTACCTGGTGCTGTTCTACGTTCACATCCTGTGGAACAAAGTCGAGAACAAGCATGTTTACAACGGGGGAGTGGAGGCAGCTTCTACCTTGCTAAGTGAGACATTTCTGGAGCTTTAATGTTTATTTTTTAAAGTGCTGGAGTTTTGCAATGTTATCTGTGTTTTATGCTCAGTGCTCAGACAGCAGTTGGGTTTCGGTTTCACAGTCCTCCTTCACATCGGCATGCGACTCCAGCTTGCTGTCTAAATTTAGATGCACATAATGGTAACAACTCTGTGCTCAGTGAAAACCACATATCAAAGGTCCTTAAGCAAAGAGCCAGGAGGAAGTGTTAGTGGCTTTCTTTCACAAAGATGCTCTGAAAACTCAAACAATTCTTAATCTAGGATTTTTTTTGTAAAGGATTTTCATGCTGCGATGAGAGAGGAATTGTTTTTCTGAAGGTAGCCCTAAATGTTATGTTAATTATTAGGGATTAGGGATGCACGATATGGATTTTTTTTAGCTGATACAATAACGTTTTTTTATTACCAGCTTCTTGTGGCCAATACCAATAAGAAAACCAATAATTTCACATTCTTTTAAAAGGAAGTTCATTAGCTTTTGTTTCTGCACATGCAACGGTAAGCAAGGCTGAGATCTAGTAAACAAAGATGGATGATTTAATATTCCAAAACTTCACAAACAACAATGATAAACTGAGAATTGAGTTTTTTGTTTGACATTTGCACATATTTGATGCACAACGTAAACTGAGGTTGAGTAAATGACCTCCCACCTTTATTCTGCCAATTGATTACATCAGGTTTTACCAGTAATCTCTCTTTAAACAGCTGTAAAGCACAAAGGTAGCACTTTGTTTAAATAACCTGGACATGCAGTAAAAGTTATGTTGCAAAACAAAATTTGTACACCAAAGTTAGGCTTTTTGTCATGAAATTACTTATTAAACTTACTTATTTATTAAAAGCTAAAAGAATATACAATACTCCTATATCAGTAGTGAATGAGTGCCTGGTTTACAGAATATGTCTGTATGAATCATTGAGTAGAGGTTTAGAAATATTTAACCTTGATCAATGTGAATCTTTCTGCAGGTGCGGTGACGTCCTTCATCGCTGGCTATGTGAAAATTCGGTGGAACGTCTGGTCTGAGCTGGTGATCGGTGTGATCACAGCGCTTCAGGCAGGTCTGCTGCTCCTCATGTACACCACAAACAGCATCTGGGCCTGCTACATTTCCTACGTCCTCTTCAGAGGCTTCTACCAGTTTCTGGTGCCTATTGCCACGTAAGTGCCAAATAAGATAAATTCTTAATTAATAATATGAAAAATACAAACCTATTGTTTGTACTTTATTTATTATATTTCACATTGTTAGTCGAAACTGTGATTAGAGCAAATATTATCCCCCCAAAAGCTGGAGGAAAGGTCTCAAGATCAGTACGTAGAGAATAAAGCTCCTAAACTAGAACTGCAACAATTGATGAAGACAAGAAATACAAGTTTTAAGCAAAAATCATTACAACTTTTTAGTTCCAGATACTCAAACCTGCTTTTCTTGGTCTGACATTACTGACAACTGTTGGTCAGATAAAACAAGACATTTGTTGAAGGGGCTCATTGGGCTCCAGGATATTCTGAGGGGCATTTTTTGCTGTTTTCTGATGCTTTACAGACCAAACGGCTTGATTGAATTGAGAATGATAACATAATTGCTGAAAATAATTAGCTGCAGCCCTAAACTAAACATTAAACCAAGGTTTTAATCTTTTCATCTAGACCAGAGCTTCCCAAAGGTAGTATATGATTCATAGCTAATGTGGGAGAGAGAATTTTTGCACCACAAATTAGATTTTCATTGATTTGATATTGCATTTGGCCATATTGCGATTTCGATGAATATAATTGTGCAGCCCTTCTGTTAAATATGCAGTTATGCCAAAACATGATAGCACAATGTTGTTGGTTTCCTTGGTAACTAAACATAGCAGCACAACTATTTCATACAAAATAAACAGATATTCCCTTAAAAATCCTCCTAAACTGACGATCATATTATGAACTAACCGTACAATCAGCTTTTAGCTGTTTCCACATTGATGTACTGTGTTAGTGTGAACAACTACTATACCTGGAACTGGAGTGTCAAACTAATCCGTCATCTTATCTCTCCATAGTTTCCAGATTGCCTCGTCCCTCACCAAGGAGCTCTGTGCGTTAGTATTTGGCATCAACACCTTTTTGGGGACCATACTGAAGAGTATCATCATCCTGATATTTGTTGACAAGAGAGGCCTGGCGTTCGACGTTCACGCTCAGGTAAGACAATCACATAATACCTTAGAAGATAATGCAGGTGTCTTACACAACACTGGTGACTTGATTTTAGGAACAAGATGGACAGACTTGACAGGGAAGAAAGGAAAAGGTTGTAATGCTCATTACAAAAAAACATTAGTCAAATCTATAATATAAAGAAGCCAAACTTGCTCTTGAGTTCACTGTCAACTAGTGTTTTTCATTTGCGGAACAGAAACTCAGTTTTTAATAGTTCTTTCCAAAAAAGCCGAAAACTCAGAGGATACAAAACATAGCTGCTCGGTTTTTAACAGATAAAAGAAGAAATGCCCTGTTTTGCCCTCTCTTCACTATTTAGCAGTAAGTTCTGAAATTGATTTTTAGATTTTACTGATCACAAGGGTTGGTGTGTAGGCGGTGAGGGTTTTACCGCTTCAGAAGTGGGGCCTGTAACTGAATCTATTTTAAGGCATAATAACACACTAACCCTGTTTTAACCCAGGGGTAGGCAAACTGTCACAGGGAGCCAAACTGTGTCACCAGTTGCTTGTTTTTGCCCTTGCTAGCTCAGTTTTCTCAGAATGATGCTCATTTGGTCGTACTTAAAGCAATTTTCTTAACCAAGGAAAGTATAAACATTACCTACATGATTTAAACAACTTCAGTGCTGTTTCTACCTTTTTCCAAAAGAGTTAAGTTAAGAGTTTCCAAAAGGTGGCAAAGACAACCATTTAAGTAGGTGTAGATACTGAATGTAGGTTTTGGAATAAATAATTAACTTTTTTTTATTGATATTTATTGATTTTCACTATCTTGCATATCTTAAATCTGATTTTAAGATGTCTCTATTTGTGTTACAGTTCCTGGTGTACTTCATTTACTTCACCATTCTCACCTTCATCTACTTTGTCTGCGCTGCTGTGGTCTTAATCGGTCACTATAGAAACAAACCCATGGAAGGAGGCGGGACCAATGAACAGGCCACGCCCACTGAGCTGCACCCTGTGGCTGCAAATTCAGTGGCAGAAACTTTATCTAACGGCAAAAATGGCAACGCATAATGCCAAGAAACATGTCGTTTCAATGCTCTCCTGTTGCTGGAGCGGTTTGTTTGGTGTTTGCTGCTGAGCCTTAATCATAGAAGTGCCTCGTCTGCTACCTAAAGCTCCTGCACTATACCAGTCAGACTGCTGGCGTCTTGTGTCTGACGTCTCAACGTAAAGTAAATTCTACTTTTTTTTTATTTAATACGAAGCACTATGTACTATGCTTTCACATGGTGGCAAATCATCTTCAACACAAAGAGGGGACCATTAATGTAATGGCCAGAATTGAGCCTTTTTTTTGTGTGTTTTGTACAGGAAACAGGAGAATTAGTTGTAACATGCTGAACTGTCCTGTTTCAGTGACAGTGAGGTTCATTATTACTATGTGATCACTAAATATCACTTTAAAACAGTCTGCAGCTTTGAAAGACATCACACATTTTATTTTTCTCATTGACACTCCTGTTATATCTAATGTCACACCTCCATGATTACGTTGTTTAAAAATTGACCATATCAGTATACGGTACTTGCATTTTAGATATGGTTTACCTTTCTGTATCAATAATCACATCACATTGTTATATAATCAGACGATAATGGGTATCTTCTTCCCTTGTATCGGTTTATTTGAAGCTGTAAACTGCAGATTTTATGCAGTATGTTAAATTACGATTCATTTTTTTGAAATATTGCTGTATTAATGCTGTTAAAACATGCTACAGAATGTGTTTATAATCATTTCAGAAAGTAATGTTTAGAAATATCTTCACACTGATATAGACTTATTTGGTTAAAGACACGACTGAATTTGGTTATTAGAAATGTGATATTTCTTCTTAGTGTTTTCAGCATTACATCGGGTGCAGATACTGCCTGATAGGTGAAAAACAAAGCATCAGTTGATATCATTGCTGCTAATTCGGCGCCTGTGACTACGTGCCATTTCGACAAAGGAGGACTTCGACTCCTAAAACCTGGTTGTTTTTATTTTAGGTTCAAGTACGGCTGTTTTTACATTAATCAAAAACTGCAGGAAGCATATGACCGGCAGAGAACATAGGAACGCAGCGTTAAAACATTCAGTGGGTTTTAAAATGTCCATATGCTTTCTTTTAAAAGCAGATGTGGCCCTTATTTAGATTTTGAATAAAAAGGATCTTTCTTACAATATATAGGAACAACAGTAGGAGTTTTGAGTTGGATTGTACTTACATTCAGAATGTATAGATATTTTTTACATTTTTGATTGAAAAAATTGCTGAGAAATAACTGTGAACCTGTCTGAATGCTGTAAAAAGAAAACACACTAATATGTTTTATTTTTTATTCACAAATAAATTACATTTGGTGGATAAAAAGTTTGATGCTTTTTTCGGTCGGTACTAAACCATCATGTTCATTACTTAAGTATGAAAGTAGTGAAAGTGCCTTGCTCAGTGACCTCAAAAGCAGTCCTTAATGGTGAAGAACAAGTTTAAGATATGTTGATTTTGTCCCTTAAAGCCTAAGAATGTCAATTTGTCACAGATTTTGTTTTTTATATATATTTGTATGTCTTTTTATAATGTTATTGTTTGATTTGAAACATTTTGGAGCTCTGAAGAGAAAAAAATATCCAATATTTTACAATGTAATAGGGTGCGTTTCTCAAAGAGGGCATCAAATCATCAGCAGAGAACATGACTTGTTTTTGGAACATGAAAGCAAAACATTGCATTGTAATGAGCATGATTTGTGTTAAAGTTAGATTTTTTTCAGAATTTTTGGTGAAAAGAACACCAGACACACATTATTGTTTGAAGCAGACTATTTGTATATATGTCTTAATAAACGTCTGTAGGAGATCATTTCCCTGAAGGTAAAATGTGATGTAATTGTTGATCTTTAAGGGGTTTTGTGGCTGAAGTCCTAAATGATTTAAGCATTATGTTGAGTTACAACCAACTGTTCAGTATCAAATTGCACAGTTCTCTCTAGCACACAATTATACAGCTGATTAGTATTTTAGATGCTAATACCGGGAGTACTGTGAGGTACTAGGTTTATAGACAATGGTTTTGTAAATGTGACTTGTTTGGTCAGCTGTAGTTGCTGCTCACAGCACGAAGAGACCTTTGATTCTTATGTGTTTTTCTGCATTTCTTTTTTTTTTTTTTTAATCTCGACTGTTTATACAGCTGAACACGACGATGTGATGAACTCTGTGTTTTAATTGTCTACAGATCCAATATTCAAAACAGGAAACATCTGTCAGTTCAGAGTAATTAAGTGAGACCCGTATTGAGTTGTTTGCTGCTGAACAGTCAGTGGGCTTGCCCTTTAGCCCTGAAGTCCTTTCAGTAAGCAGTGACTCAGCAGTTCACCCAGACAGTCAGTCATTCAGTGTTGCATTTACACCAGATTGATTATTCAGTGTTAAATTGACATTGTATAAATGTGAAACTTTGTTCAGTTTGTTTCATTCAACAATAAATTGGCAGTAATTTGAGTAGTAAAACAAAGCCTTAAATGTTGCTTATGCAAGTGTGCTATTTTAAAGTAAAAGCAGCCTGTACTCTGAGCTTGCAAATGGAAAATTGAGACATTTTTTTAAGGGATATTTTCCTGCTACTTGATACAAAAGGTTGCAACTGCCTTTACCAGCCAGCATCTGGAAGGAAGTGAGAAAAGCTCTGACAAATTGCACTCAGGTGGCCTCTACCTGCCTGGTGCCACTAAAAAAGTAACATGCACATATGACACAAAAAACATGACAAATCTACAAGACTACTCAGAATCTGGTAGTTGTTACACAAACAAAATACAATAAACAATGCTTTTGCAATCAGAATATATATGCATGTACCAACACAAAGTCAGTGTTGAGTTTTAAAACCTGCAGCAAACTCGACTCAGGGAAATGTGTCAACTTGCTGCCCTCAAGTGGTTCAACTTTGGACAACAAACAAATGCCTCATTTATTCCTTTAACTTACTGTTGGAAAGAAACCAGACTAAAGACATGTAAATTAAAAACAAGAGATAGATTGATGTGTAGATTTACAAACGAGTTTCATTTCAGGGTTCATATTCAGTTGGTTTTATTAAATACAGCACATATAAAAACACTTAACATTTACATATCTAACATTCTTTATATCTTCAAACAAATAACAGACAACAATAGACACTATGCTAACAGGGTCTTATTAAGTCAGTGCCTTTTGTTTAAAAAAAAATAAAAGTTCTTTGGAGTGTCTGGAACAATTTAAAAATGTTTCGGTGCTACAACTCATCCTTGACTGATGCTTTTGATTAAGAAGTTTAAAAACTAGTTTCACAAATAATGAAACTGAAAAATAGTGAAACTGTATATAACAAAGGATGATTCGACCTTTAAAGGTGGCACTCTTGAGATTAAAAGCCTAATACTTTCAGCTGTAATGTATTGTATTGTAAATGTTAAGTGCAAAAACAAACCCGTCATCCATTTTAAACACATATATTGTATGTACACACAGTGCATCGGAAAGCCACAATCAGAATTTAGAGTTAAATGCAGAAACCACCTAAAATACAAGTATAGAGGAGTTAAATAATGTCAGTGAAATGATTCTAAAAGCTGATTGACTTTGTTCGAGGTTGAAAAATATTTTGTTCACATATTCACACACAAACTGTTGCTGAGGAGTCGGCAGGAAAGGACTGTACAATGCCTTGTTTGTTGGTTGAGCTGGCAGCCCAAACCAGACAATGGCTTCCCTGTTTCCCCTCGTCTCTCCATCCAGTTCCTCCCCACACAGTCCAAGCTCTTCCCTAACGTTGTGAGGCTGCAGGAAAACCACACCAGACGTGCCGCACATCACAAATCATCCTCACTCGGTGGTTTAATGAGCTCGCGGTACCAGGTACCGACAGGAAAGCACACATTGCAGGGTTTCCTGGTATTGTCTAAACTGTGAGGAGCCTCTTTACCTCAGAAAGACATGAGATCTGCTTTAAGTCTAAAAGCTTTTGTCTTTGTCAGTGTTTATTTCCTTTTCTATTTATCTCAGCACTATAGTGTTTTGTCTAATTTCATTTCAGGCTAGGAGTCTTTAATATTTCCCTTCTTAGTATCTTTTAAATATATTCAGTTTAAGATGAGAAGCAGTTCAGTCTTATATAGAGTAAAAGATGAGCAGGGAAGAGTCTTGAACATGCCTTAAAACACGTTTGTGGCTTCAAAAGCCATAAGAAAACAACTTTTTGAAAGTAGCTTTAAGATAATTTCACTCTCACTTTTTTGCCTTACCATTAAATTTAGATGTGTAACACTGGAACTGGCACTACTGGTAAGGGATTTTCAATAATATGTGTTCACACAACAGACCAATCCTTAAGTACATGAGCATTTCTGGATTTCCTGAACCATTTTAGCCTCGCTCTGGAACTTCTTGGATCGTCTTGTTTCACACCAGACAAGTCCTGACTTGATGTAGTCTGGCTGCCTATGTCATTGGTGTTTCCTCTGCCAAATGACAAAAGGAAATATGGTACAGGTTGGAGGTTTAACATCAGCCGTAATCTTAAAAACCATCAGATATTAGACATTAGAGCCAAGCTTTCAGTTGCATCTTACCGTCCATTTGTTCCTTCTCTGAACGAGCACTGATGCCATTGGATTCAGCAGCGTCTCTCGCTGGATTAATGATAAGCACATTTGGATGTTATTTCATTGTAATAAAAGGTTAGAAAAAATATACAGAACACAGACTGTAGCTCAGACTTACGTGCCCTCTCTTGCTTCCTCCAGAAGTCTGCAGTGGTGGACAACAGGCCAAAAACATTAGTGGCAAATACTGCACTAAAGAAGTCTGTTATTGTAAAACATCAGTAACTACCAGTGATTTTATTCTCACTGGAACCAGCTGCCTTTGATTTTTAATAAATTATACAAAAACAAAATCACAACTATGTTTGCAATTTTCACTTTTCAGAAAAAAGCCTAAAAACATCACAACATGCATCACAATCTTTGGCAAAATCCTGACTGATTAATTTGTAATGGTGTAGGCAAGTTTAGTTACTGACCTGCTTCCCATGGCATGGATTCTGCAGGGAGAGAATAACAGCAGATAATACATTAAGAAAGTCTGTGTTTATAACGGTTTGCCTAATATAAATGAAATAAAATGTAATGGTTTAAATAAGGAATAACTGCAAGAGAGAATTTATATACATGCCTGAGTAACCTTTGACAGCTACTCTAAATTAAAATGTTATAATGGAAAATGTTACCAATCTCTGATCTCTGTCCCAAATTCTAACATACTCCATGCTGTAATATCCTACATTTCCCAGAATGCTCTTCCAACCACCCCTAGAAATTGGACATAAACTTTTGTGTGTTTTTAGATGAAACATGAAGTTGTGGTATGATGTAGTACAGGAGAAAAACACTGAGAAGACTGCAGTGTGCTGCAGTCTGCCACCAGCACCTGTGATTTATTTTTAGATATGGAGCTCTTCATTGCTTTATAAGACTTCTTACCTTTTTGGAAGAACCACATTCCTAGAGGAAACCAACAGAATCATTAAAATGTCATACTAGACTCAACATTATAAGACTAATATAAAATACAGACAGATTGAACACTAGTGTTGGGCGGTGACCAAAAATTGTAATTGTAAATGTAATTATGTATCATGGTAGATTCTGGCGTTTTTTTTGCATTACTGGTCCTTTATACAGGTTTATAGTGGATTGTTCTGTACTACTTCTTCATCTTCTTCTACATACACACACATATACATATATATATATATATATATCCATGGTGTTTTGTATTGATAAATAGAGTTATAGTTTGTGAGTACTTACCTCCAATCCATCTATGAATAACCACCAACAGCACCACAGCTGTCAGCATAGTGATGAAGACTGTCAGTCCTGTGGAAATCTTCAGATTTCCTGGTATTATACCGTCAGGAGTGTCAGCTTCTATTGCTAAATGAGAACAGCAACAATAAGTGGGTTTTACAGTGCATTACACGCCAGAGGACATTTTGTGTTGCGATTAAATTTAATAAGTAATAACTCACTTGGGCCGAAAGGGTTGGGGATGGGTTGGCTGCTCTCCCGACTGACTGGATTTTCCAGCTCGCAGCTGAACTCTGTTATACTTGAATTGTCCTCCTAGGAGCAGAGAGAAACAGTATTCCCAAACAGTTATACACATCAAGTTTTTACACCTTCAGCGTGTTCAGATGTCCCAACAACCAAGTGAGAATGAAAAGAGAAAAATCTGCCTGAGAAACATTGTCCTGGTTTCCCACAGATGTTAGATTATATCATTTTTTCTGTAGCAGATATTCTTTAGATTTTCCCAAACAATTCCTCCAACTCCTTAAATAGCCTTGTTTATCCTCCCCACGTCCTTACAGTCCGTCTATCAAACCATTTCCCTTTAACACTGCTAAAGTAACGACAGTAAGCTCTCTAAGGAGGCCATTGAAACTGTGTTTCTGTATTTCACTTCTCAGTGAGACTCACATAGAGTGAGCTGCAGTTTTTACCTGCCGAGGTAATTTGTAAATAACTGTTAACGTTATAAAATATCCACTGTGTTGATAAGTCTGCAAGTATTTGATTTTTGTAAAGTTGGAAGTTATTTATTTTAAGTTTGGAACAGCAAGCTACACCGTGTTGAGTGCCAGTTGTTCCAACTCATTCAGTCATTATTGCATTTGCTGTTAGCATTTAAAGGCGGCTGATAAAATATAGATATATGTATCTAAATTGTTAAATTAATATCAGAAATGTGCAAAGACGAAAGAAAGAGAGAGAAAGAAGTCGACTATTGGCTTTAACTAATGACTCATAGCTAACTAGGAAAATATTTAGTTACTCAATGCGAGTAAATGTGTTTAAGAACTATTTTGTTTCTCAGAAGCTTCTTCTGTTTTAAACTCTTTCTACGACATTACCAGGTTACTCAATCTTATGAAACATTAGTGTTTAGTGTTGGCTGCAATATTCTGCAATCTGAGGATTCTCGTAATGAGCATGTTCATGAACACTTCAGAGTAAAAAGCAGTGTAAACTCAATGGTTCAGTTCAAGATATTTGTTTGAGTTCTGAATGAAAGCGACAAGAAATACATATATTGTTGTAAAAACTGATGAACTGTGGCATTACATTAGAGAATACAACACCTTTGCAATGTGTTGCTCCTTAGAACCTGTCAACAGTTTGTCATCTAATTTCCACTTGTAGGTGACGGGTCCAGCATCTCTGGTGTTTCCATCACAGGTCAAAGTGCATCTGGACTCACTGTCACAGGATTTAATAACGGTGGGTGTAGGAACGGGAGCTGTTGTTATTGGAGGAAAAACAAGAGAAATATTTTAGTCTGATCGAAACCAATCCACTCACAACCACACAACACACTGTGTGTTCATCCACTTACAGATGATGATGAGAAGAGTTGCACTGGAGACCACGCTGTTGATTTCCGGTACGTAGTATCCACTGTCCTCTCGAGTAAGTCTTGTGATTGTCATCTCTCCGTTTGAAATGTTCAGTCTGCCACGAACTTCAAACAAACACCAACATGGATGATGTTAGATTTACAACACAAGTCGTCAGCCCACAAAGAATTAAAATCAATAATTTACCTCCCCTTAAAACCCCTCATATTTGATCTCACACACCAAAACAGCTGAGCTACTCTCGACTCAATATACCTTTGAACTCGCGATAACTGTCAACAATCCCTCCATCCCAATCCATGGCGATGTCAGGCTGTTTTTTCCACAAGATGCTGGTGGGCACAGTGGTAGTACCTGGACTGAGGACAACTTCATCGCCAACCTTCTTGTACACGGTCGTCTCTGCAAGGACAAAAAGAAGCTCAGTGTGCTGATTATCTTTCTAGTTTAGCAGTTGGTTATTATTTAAACCACTTTCTCGTCCTATAAGTGGTGTTGTACTCAAACTAGTGCTGTACTCTACATTTCATAAGGTAATATATTACCTTTTACTCACTACATTTTTTGTTACTGTATTCATAACTGTTCTGTGTATACTGATATTTTTCCATTAAGTACATCTCAATTCTGTTGCATCCTGCTACAATCTACTCTACTTTAGTAAATATGAGGTCTCATATTGCAGGCCTCATGCACTTTATCTTATTGACAGCAGCCTTGAAGTCTACTGTACATATATACACATGCTGGTTTACACTGGGTGGGGCCAATATGGAAAACTACAATACTGCGACACAACACGCACATATAAACCCATTTAATCCAACAAAAAAAAGATACTCTTAAACGTATTAAAACAAGTCAGCTAACAGCAAGAAGCACTGCACTTACCGAAGTTTGCGAACACAGCAGCCAGTAAAACACACAGACAACTGACCACTGTCATCATGGATATCACAGACGGCCACATCTCCAGCTCTTAAACGATCAAAAACGAGGAAAAATAACGCTATTTAAACGCTAGAAGCATTATAGGTTAACATAGGTATGCTAGCTTTAACAATAGGTAACGTCAAGGGTGAAGGAGAGAGGCCGAAAACCTGCATGAAGCTGAAAGTTAAAGTTAAAGTTCAACATCCACAGAAACAGCCTCCAATGAGTCTGTCGTCATACGGAAGTGGGCTTGGCTTTTATTGGGAAAAAAACCCGATATTATATTATTGTATACTATTTATAAATGTGCTTAAAACTGCTCAACACTCACTATAGACGTGAAACTAACGAACTAAATCACTAATTACCTCTAGAAAAGTGAACTGAAAATAATACATTTTTACATGTACACAAATCAAAACGGCACTCTTCCGGCCCCTGGTGTCCAGAGGTTTCTATTGCAGCCATACAATCTCAAAAAAGCACTTTATTTAATAGCACTGTCTGAGATAAGAAAGCTACATTTTGTAATTACAGCACATGTATAAATGACAAACAACCCACCAAGCCATTTGAAGCTGCATTATTCTTCCTAATGTATGAATAGGCCTGCAATAAATGTATCATGTGTCATTAAGATTCATTAAATCAAACCACATGCAGTTACTTGTTATCGCAGACTGTTTATCTGCAGACTGTCTCTGCTACAGACCCCTAATTACTATGTTTTATTGCTGTATTCCTAAGTGTTTTTTTTTAACTCTTTAGTTAGCTGTGCTGCTGCTGATTTATTTAAACAAATGTAATACAGTAAGAATAGTCAACAATTTGCTAAGTCAATAATTTTAATGTGATAATAAAAGAATCATGTTCTACAAATTGCTTTGTAGAAAACAAATGCATTTAGAAACAATACAGTAAACATAAATCAATCATTCATCCTGCCACTCCTCCATGTTGCCCGGGGTCAGAGGCTCCACCTGCAGCCACATGCCTCCCTCCGCACGTAGGACGAGCTGGGGGAGACGGCGAACTTCCCCAGAGCTGGGCCCGAGTTCGGGGTTCACCCCCGGGGTCAGACGAAACCTGAGCAGGGTCAATGCCACCACGACTCGAAGCTCTGCCAGGGCAAACTTCTGACCAATGCAGTTCCTGTGAACACATACATGTTCTTATTAGATCTTATTTACGTTAAATGTTAAGCTGTAATGAGGACGCAGTACCTGGGGCCTGAGGAAAAGGGGATGAAGGCATGAGAAGCCAGCCCCTCTTTGTTTGTAGGGTCAAAACGCAGAGGGTGAAACTCCTAAAAGACAGTAAATCACACACATCAAACATGACAAAATTGTGCCAAAGTAAAAAGAAATTTAAGTTTCTTCTTTTTCATTTCTTACATGTGGGTTTGTCCAAACAGTTGGGTTGTGGTGTGTTCCATAAATGCTGACCAAACAGATGGCACCTTGGAAAGAACAACTACTTTGAGAAGGGTTCATATTCACTGCTCTAAAGGTTATCATAACCTGACCAACTAGCTGATTAGGCGTTTCACTTCCTGCTTGAGGTTGGCTCATGGCCCTCCCTAAGATTCTTTGACAGATGCATTACTGTATGTGGTCTAAAATGGGTTGCTGACATGCAATAATATGAATAAAAAACACAAGACACAGCTTTTTTTTAAACCTCTAAAATCTTTTTAAAATACCCAATGAGTCTGCTTCTCTCACCTTTTGGCACTGTGCAATCCCCTGGCAGTGTCATGTCCTGGGTGTACTTCCTTGTTACAGCCTGCACAGGAGAGTGCAGCCTGAGAGACTCTCTGATGCACATGGTGGTGAAGGGAAGGTTAGACAAATCCTCCCTTTAAAAAAAAACAAAACACATGCATATTCACACTGCAGGGTTTCTGGTGTGTGGATGAGTTTTCCACCTCTTACTAAGCATTTTTACTGAATTACTATCCAATGTCCATTGATTCAGGTTGTGCGTGTGTTTTCTGACCACTCTATTTCATGTCTGTCTCGTCCTTCCATCAGCTCCATCACTTCCTGTCTGCATTTCTCCTGATAGTGGTCGTGGCGTGCTAAATTATACAGCGTCCAGCAGATCGCACTGGCTGTTGTGTCATGACCTGTGGAAAACAACAATATGGGAAGAGAAAATATTGTTTATGCTAGCGTCTAATTGAGACCTGCTTTTATTTGTCAGCACATTTAGCCACCCCCGGCCTGTAAAAGGGACTCGAAATAGGGAGCGTTTAATTGGGGCTCAGCTTTTGATTTAAGTTTAAGGCAACTGTCTCTTGTAGAAGAAAGTTCCACAGTCATGCTTTAAAGTGTCTCACCTGCGAACATGAAGGTGTTGGCCTCAGCCTGTATCTCCTCATCTGTTAGGCCTTGTCCATCCTCATCCTGCAATAATACAGAGCTACATTAAAGCACTGTCCCTCCACCTTACCTTTCCCCTCTGTCCATCTCCATTTCTCATTCATTAATGCTCATTTCTTCTTCTCTCCTACCCTTGACAGCAGTATAATGTCCACAAAGTCTTTCTTTTTCTGTGGTGCTGTGGTTTCTGTCTCCCTCTGTTGGCTGATTAGGGCACGGCGCTTCTGAACCACCTCTCTGGTAAACCTGCAAGCACCATACAATTACCACAATATCATACAATGTTATACAATTATATTACAGTATGACTATACAAAATGATACTTAACTACAGAACATTATAAGATACAACGTGATACAACACAATGTAATATGGTGCTTTCTGATACATATAACATGTAAGGCTCCTATTTGATACTTTATGATAATTTATCTTTCTATATGATACAGTATAATGTCGTAAAATAAAATACTTTATAAAAATGTTACAATAAGATATGTGATTCAATAGACAGCAGAATGACATAGAATTGCATAAGAGATATTACAGCAGCAGATTTTTGAAGTAAAACGGTGTCATCAGACTTGAAGGTTCCTGTGTGATTTGTGCAACACTGTTACATAAAGGTCAGGCGGTACCTGTGCACAATGCTTAAGGCCTTTTTGAATCGTTTCCCCTGCTTTGTTTTCCAGTAAATCCAGTCCCAGTGGTGTAAAATCTTTTGGCGGCGATCTATTATCAGGTCACTCAGCTCCACTATGGCTGACACATACTCACTGGTGGACCTGGAGACAGAACAGTTTCAGGAAATTCAGGTACAACAGAAGCAGAATATACTGTATTTGTGGAAAGTGGTGAAGATGCTCACTGCTGGCAGTTGCTGTTGTAGCTAAAGGCACATTTCAGTAAACTGTCCAGTGTCATCAGAGTGACGTGGTCAAACATCTCTAGATTAGTGGTGCCTACTGCCAAATGGTGCCGCCACTTGTCCTGAAAGAGAGAAAATCAATCATGTTTAACTATTGTACAGTCTGCCATCGTGCCTGAGCCTAAAATGACCCTCTGATCAAATCTAAAAACATAATAATGTTCATAATATAGATGATAAGATATATTATTTGTACTGCATGTTCATTGAAATTAATTATTTTATTTAATTGTGTTTTAAATTATGTGCTTATGTGGTGTTTGGCCATGCTTAACACTCTGTATATCTTCTATGTATTCTTGTGCATAGATCTGTCTTTAAAAAATAAATAAAGGATTAAATAAAATTAAACACATAATTTCAATGAAGATGTCATAGAATAAACACATATAGCAAACCCTTAAGAATTACTACCACTTCTAGTTCACTAGTAATTTGCTATATAAATCTTAACAGCCGGTTGTATTTTGTATTTTGTGATGTCCACCAGTGCAAACAAAGACATTTGCATGTAGTTAGAGGCTGTGTCCACGTTGTACACTGGCACTGATTTATGATAATGTATGATATGATAATACTGAAAGAAAATGCAATATAAAACTAACATATCAACAGAGTTTTTTAATTCAGTTTAGTATAGTACATTTTTTTATCTTTCAAACCGATTTTAGTTTTCAGTTTACTTTTAGTTCACTACAATAACCTTTTGTAGTGCACTGCTGCGTGTCTTACATGCATGGTGTTAGTTGAGGTGTTAAATATGGCAACGTAGTTCCTCAGAATATCAAAATGAAAAGCTGGAGTCAGCAGCCGTCTCTTGCGAGACCACTCCTCCCCATTGCTTAGCAACAGACTCTGTCCTGGGAGGTGAGAGGGAGAAAGTTTGGAGATGAGGATGACAGTGAATTGTAATCAGTACTTGGAATCACAGTTATCCGACTTTATTCTTGTTAATTTACAGTCAACGATATAAAACAGCTGTTTTATTTAATGATGGGAAACCTGAAAAACCTTCAGTACTCTATGTTGAATATCTATAGGCAAAAGGAACAGAAAAGACTCCCACACATGTTTTTGACATTACACAACTGCTTTGACCTCGTTCTAAGTGTTATGAAACATGGAACCAAAGTTGATTAAACTGTGAAAAACTAAACTAGGCTTGCATCAGAACAACATGAGATATTAGACTCACCAAGCCATGGACGTAGATGGCCATAGATGAGCTCATCTTTTACTGTAATGCTGGCTGCATGGAGGGGAGGAGTGAGGGAGACACATTACGCATTAAATGAAGCTCCAATAACACTCCCACTGGTGTGAAAACAATGTCACTTTTACTGTATTCTGACTGATGGGGTGTTACCCTACCAGGTGCCATTAGCAGAGGTTTGACGTAGTCCGGGTGAAAGAGTCTGACCAGGTGGTAGAAAGGGCCGAGGAACCAGCTGCAAGAGTGCTTGTACGTCTGCACCAACTCATCCACATGCTGGAGGCCTTCTTCTGTGCTCTGCATCTGAGGCACAAATATTAGTTGTTGTTTTTTTAAAACAAAACATCACAATACACAGTATACCTTATGTTTAATGCCGTCCCATAAAGGGGAGTTAACTCTAAATTAAAAGGTGAGTGAAGTGAGTTTTGGTTGGTTTACCATTCACTGCTTTGCTGAATTTTCATACAGCTTTTTAAGGGAAATTTATCAAGAGGATATTTTGTAATAATAATTACACTGTGCTCAGTGTTGCAAATAATAATATGCAACATCCTGTATCACTTTGAGAAATGTGCCGTTAGATTTCCTGATGTGTACACAGATGAGGGTTAATATCATCACCTGAGAACTGACAGATAAGACTGTAAATGCATGTGTGTTTTAGCAGCCTCAGTGTGTGTACCTACCTGGCCCAGGTGGCCTAAAAGCCAGGAGTTTGCATGTGGTTTGCTGAAGCAGGACAGCCTGTGTGTGTACCACACGTGTCGCACCAGCAGCTTCGTCGTCCAGACTAGAACCACAGCTCCCAGTAATGTCCAGACCACAAACAGGACCTGACAGAGGCCTGTCCAGCTGAGGACGTGAGAGAGGACACCCTGGAGGAAAGGCATCCTGAGACAGAAAGACAGTGAGAGTAATGGGAATCCAGAGGTCCAGGTTGCTCGACAGTTAGCCTGCTGTGACAGTTCACAATGACTCACAAGTTGTTAATGTCGAAATATGCAAAAACCAAACTGTTCCACCCGGTTATTTCAACAGTAACAAATGCTGTAACCATTATGAGAGACACCACTTCCTTTGTCTGTTAGAATAACCTCATTTTACACTTCACCTGACAGTGTATTATGCTGAGCAGAAAACATAAAATCAAAAAACTGTGTTGAGTAATATCAGACTTAACTTTCTTTCTTTGAAGCTGAACGTATGTCAGAATTTCTTGAGAGCAAATATTTTTTGTGATTTATTTAATTGTAAAAAGTAAAGTGGGAACATTGACCCTTTAAATCTTATGATTTGATTTACTCATTTACTTAATTTATCTTCGTTATCTGGCTTTGCTGCTGTTTGTAGTTTATTTTTCTTGGGTCTTTGTTTGTTATTGATAGGAATGGACTGTTATTGTTTCTACAAAAATGTGTATCATGAGGTCAAATGAAGTTGTTGGGGGAAAAAAAAAGTTTCACTTTTGTCATCGCCAGATATTTCTATGTCCTTCCCAACAACATAAATAAACGACATGTCCAACTTTTCTTTAATTCAGTAATGGGTTTTACGAGGGGCGCCTGAAGGCCACACTGATTGGCACCGGATACACCTGTGTTGACAAACGGGCTGTGGCTAACAACAGGAGCGTCAGGAAAACAGGTTTATAAATTATTATTTGACTTCTGCAGGCAGACAGAAATGACAAGCAGGCGATAATGCGTGTTTCCAGGTATAATGTCTATACCTGAGTGAGATTTTTCAGGTGAGTTTTAATTAAATGTTTTTGTCCCAATTGTGTGGGAAAACACAATCAAGCCAGGTAATTAGCTTAATTTCAACTAGCCAGTGTGGAAGCTTCCACAACTCCATGTTTACCGTTCAGGATAAAAAAAATAATTACTTTAATTTTCCTATTGATTAATCAGTCTTATCTATTTATTTCATTAATAAATAAATAATTAAATTAAATGTTTACAAAATGCCAGGAAACAGTCCAACATCAATGCAATAATATAGTCTAATGTTTGATAAACAGTGTTTCTAAATTGTTCCCAATTAAATAAATTCAATCGATTATTCGAATATTGATAATGATAATAAATCAATACTGGAGCCTTCTTACTTTTAAAGTGGCATTCATTAATGTATCATTTATTCTTATGTTTAGGGGTATTCATGCATCAAGTAACACTTGGATTTATTTTCATAAAGTGTGGTTGAAAATCGTTATTGTGTGTTTTAATATTGGCGTTGGAAAGGAGAGACAACTTCAAAGCAGTAATGTTAAAGTTTGATGCTACCAAAATGGGAAATACTTCTATCTTTTCAGACGAAACAAAGTAAAAATGTGTCACTGGCTTGTCAAATCATAGGGTATTCTTGGTTTTTACCAGCAATACAAACTTTATTTATCTTGTTATGTTTCACAATCTTTAAACATGATCTGGCAACACTTTAATAAACTGATGAATTTTCAGAGCGCTTACCTGAGAGATTTGACAGCTAAGTTATATGAGGAAGTCCAGGATGGAGAAGTAGCGACCTAAGTTGTGAAGTGGATGTTGGATATAAAAAACAAAACATTAGCTTGTGGCTATTTTTTGGTTGCCTACCTGTAAAATCAAAGTACCTCCACATTAGTGTTTATTTTTAATATGAATTTTCTGTAAAATGTTGCACAATCTCTTCACTCAGGTTTTGGAACCGAAAGCAAGTGCATCAGGTATGATGAGTAGTTCAGGAGACCTGGGAGATTAGAGTCTTCATAAAACAGAGAAGCTCTGCATGGATATCCTTAAATCTCAGTGGTTGTCATTGCAACTAGGACCCAACAAATTGAAAACATTGCTGTGATTTTCAGTTCATTTTGCTGCTGTTCTATAAAGCTCTTAAAAGTCTGTGTGTGTGTGCATGCTGTCTGCCTATACTGATGTTATTTTCTTTTTATTCTGTTTTATCTTTATGTTGTTATGTTGAATTAGTTCTGCATTAGCTTTTGCTCTTCAAATAAACTTATAACTATTTACCAGCAGAACTTATCTTTAAATTTGATAATATTTGCAGTCTGAACAGTACTGAGAAGCTCCAATACATATCAATGTGTTGTGTTACTAAAAAGTAAATGCAAAAGGTAAATATTCTCAGTAATCATAGATTCTAGAGGACATAGTTCCGCAGTTGGTGGCAAATAAGTTAGTAATATGTTTTTCTACATCTAAAATTAAACCATTTCTTTCTTTTTTTCTTTTACAACATATTGAGCAGAAGTTATTTTAGCCTTTTTCTTTTTCACTTGTAAACTGTGTTTTTAAAGCAACGCAGAAATATCTAGTTCCTCACTGCTCTCCCTCTGTGTGCATGTGGCAGGTTTTCAGCTTGAAATGGATGAAACTGCAGACGGGCACAACCGGTGTGCCAACCAAAAGAACTCTCTCCCTGTTTCCAGCTCCTCTCCTACGTCTGTCAGCTCTCCCCAAACATGGCTGCCAGTTGTATCACCCCTGCGGTCTCCCTGGAGGACTGATCGTCAAATGGAGCAGGACCAGGATTTCCGGGACCATCACGCTGGGATGCAGTCGAGTCCTCCATCTCGTTTCTATGAGGAACTCTACTGTAGCAGCCAGACTTCAAACCCTCTGGTCGGCGCCCTCATGACCTCCTCCGGGCCGCAGAGCGATGTGGTGAAACAAGGTAACCTGGGGAAGCTGGAGCGGAACCACAGGAGATATTTTGTCCTCAGAGCTGGAAGTCACACCGGGCCGAGTCGTCTCGAGTGGTACAAGAGCCAGGAGAAGTTCACAGCAATGGAGAAGTGTGCTGGTAAAGCTGCGCTGTTTGGCTCAAGCAAGCAAGGGTTGGTTAAAGTAACTTCAGTCAATTAAAGGTTTTAAAGGAGCTTCACTTTAAGGCATTAGCTAAATGTTAATTAATGATGTCGTCAGTTTAATTTACATTCTTTGTCCTTTTTATAAGCTTATACCCTGAAACATCAAACCCGTTTAACAGTCCTACATGTTAGTTTTTAATTGTGTAAATAAAACAAGACCTGGTGCTGTTTCTACTTCCCAGGGTGATTTACATGCAGTGCTGTCTCGGTGTGAGCCGGGTTAGCAGTTCCAAGAAAGGCCACATGGTGGCGCTGTATGCCAAGGATCAGACCATGGTGCTCGTGGTGGAGGACCAGGGGGAACAAGAAGAGTGGTATCTGGCCATTAAGAAACTGATGGAGGAAGAGTGTAAAGATGAAGAGGGTGGAGAAGCGTTTGACGAAGAGGATGATGGGTATTGCACTCTGCCACCTGCTGCGTTCTTCAAAGAGGTCAGAGCAGATTTCTTTTTGCCTCGTACAGTGAATTTAAAACTAAGAACTTGAAGTTTAGACTTTTATATAATTCAGTGATTTTCTTGATTGGAAATTGTCCAGAAAGGTTTCAACTTTTCAAACAATGCAATTTGATATATATAGATGATGTAGCCTTGACAACGGAGTCAGTAATAACATCAAATCAAGTAAGAGAGTAATATAATCTTGATGATATTGCCATTATATTCATCAAGGTACTATTACAAAATGTATAATAGTTTCTTTAAATGACACATCCATTGTAATAACTAATAAAACACCCAGAAGGGAAAAGAGAATCCATTGTACTTGACAAAATGTTTTGCTTTTTGCCAACGTCACAGAAAATCAACGTGACCTCAGTTTGAGTTGCAGCTACATGTTAAACCTCAACTTACACTTCCAGACAGTGTTTACAAAGATAATATCACATATGTCAGAATATTGGACATAAAAATTAAGTTTTAATTAAAAGAAGACCTCATTAGATATAAATATTCCCCTTTGAACTTCGCCCCTGCTCCCTTCACCTCCGTCTAAGGTTTGGCCCGTCACAGTGAAGTCCAGAGGTCTTGGCTGTTCCAAGTCCTTGGCAGGGGAGAGCCGGCTGTGCCTCACAGCTACGTCCCTCATCTTGGTCAGAGTAAGCGCGTGCAGTGTTTTGCCGTCGGTTACAATACCGTTGCTGAGCGTTCGTCGCTTCGGCCACTTGGACGGCTCGTTCTTCTTGGAGCTCGGCAGGTCGGCACCAAACGGTCCTGGAGAGATCTGGATGGAAGCAAGAGACCAAGGTGATTAGGAATAAAAGCTGTCGATTTTACTCATGACTGCCTCACCATAGGACTCTGACCCCTCCTCTTTTTGTCTGGCCTGTACAGGAAACCCAGCCGTAGCCCAGCACATTCATGAGGTGGTTCGCGAGACAGTACGGGCACTACGAGCTCTTCCTGACTTCAGCCGGTCACCGACCTCCAACCACAATCCGCTTCAAACCCTTCTGGCCTCAAAACGCTGCAGACCCAAATACAGAGACAAGCTGGTGAATGTGAGACCACTTGGTTCTCGCTTGGCCCTGCCCCCCAGAAACCTTGAAATCCATACCAACACAAGTCCAACACAATGTCATCTAGAGCCCTGCAAGCCTGACAAAATGGAGCCTGAATCCACTCTGAGCTGCACCTCACATCTCAGCCCTGTCAGATCCCATCAGAGCTCCGTGTCTGAGACCGACAGCTATGTGGACATGAAGACGGACCATCATCCCCCAGTGAACAACAAAGGGAGGGAGAACGACTGCACAAGAGCTGCTGTTGTGACTGAGGGCCGCTGCAGTGTTGCAGCCTGTGGGACGGAGGGAGGGGAGCCAGGTAAGGAAGAAGAAGAAGAAGAAGAGGAGGAGGGGCTGGGGTACATGATGATGTCACCACAAGTAAGCCCGAGTTCATCTGTGCTGCCTCAGGATGACTATGTAACCATGAGCCCACATAAACAAGACTGGCCAGCCGACTCTTCCCCCGTCTCTTCCCATCAGACATCATTCAACAGGTGAATTTAACTTTTACAAAATTACCATAAATTCTTAAATAGGTTTATAATAGAGATTTTTATTTTCTGTGTTGCCCAGTTTACGCAAACTCCACCTTAACCTGATGTTTTGGTAAAGGTGGTGAAGATAATTACATGTGAGGATTTACAGTTTACAGTTTCAGTAGTTCATTGCAGTAAAACACACTAAGAAAAAGTACAAATTTAAAAGATAAAGCATCTGTTGTTGAGTGATGCCTTTTTTGCTGAGATTAACTATATACAAATAGGCAATCTTCTTACTGTCTGTTTCAGCATCAGTATTACTGTAAACTGAGACTCTTTCATAACTAGTTAAAAACAACTTGGATTACTTTTACGTATTCAATTTAAGACTAACTCAGTGACTTGACTACTTTTGTGGCTCCGATTAACTGTAGTTGTTGTCTGAATTGCTGGTGCATTAGTTGTATGCTGCAAAATGACAATACTGCAACAGGAAGGGGGGCTAAATACAGGAAAAATGCATTTGTAGAGGGAAATATTAAAAGTAAACCCTTAATAACACAGATTGAAAAACAATATAGTATACACTACAAAGAGGTTCTGCACAATGTAGTTTTGTTTTGATTAAAACTTGTAAAATTCAACTTTCTGTCCTTTTTGTAGCTCCACTTCTGACAGCTACTCTCCTCTGCACCCGTCATATCATATCATGACCAATGAGCACAGTCGGCCACACTGGCTGGTGACTTCAGTCCAACTGTCAGAAACAGACGCTGACCAATCACAGACGAGCATCAGCTGCTCAACCCAACCAGATGATGACGGAGGGCAGGAGCAGAGACGACTCCCAGCACAGACCAGAAACACCTCGTCTCTTGTGAGGAGCTTTGATGGGTCTGACATGGTGACTCCTTTTGTCAGAAGTGGGCCAGGCTGTACCAGGCCAGTCCAGGCTAGTCCAAACTCTGATACAGGCCGGTCTAGGCGACTCCAATCTGTGAGAAGATACCGGCTGTCACTGTGCCTGCCTTCTTGTCTGCAGACTGAGGACAGATCCTAATTGTTTGTAGGAATTCACTATTTTGTTGACAACAATAATCTGAACAGGAGCTATGTATTTATTCTGGTCCACAATATTTCAGTGTGACTGTTGCTGTTGCACTTTAATCACACTTGCTGTGACAGAAACTGGAGCTTTAAAGTCTTACATTGAACACTACAGTATATGTTTGATAAAAAATAATGTTATTTGTTGACAGTGTTTTTCTGTTTTTGGTGTGGATTGAATCAAGCCTTTGGTTTTGGGCTAAACCACACAGCACTTGAAGATGCTCCACTGTTATATAAAAGAATGAAAAGAATAAAGTCACATAAATGCACATTTGTCTGTAGCCTTTTCATACAGTTCATACAGCTCAGTTTAACACTTTTAACAGAATTTGAATATTTAGTCAACAGCGAAGCTGTCAGTGTAATGGAGCTACAGAAAACTGGTGTTTCTGTTATTAAGCCTACTGTCTGATATAAATGGGGTGGACAAAATAATAGAAACATCTGTCAGTCTAATACAATTCAACAGCAGCACAAACCGCAGCCTCCAAAATGATCACGCAGTTTAATAAACACCTCTCTAAAACAATTTCAACAGAATCTGAACATTATACATTATGAAGGGAGGATATATTAAAGGACTGCATTAGTTTTAGGTGTACTAAATAAACTAGTAAAAGACTGACTTTTTTGTCAAACCCTTTTACAGTTCGCTGCAGCAGTACATCAGATTATTGTAAAATCATTGAAAATGCCTCAGTGATAGGGAGTTGTTGTGAACTATGATTTACTGTCTGCTTTGTTGAGCTTTTAAACTGATATCGTCTTTGGATATTCTGCTGAGCAGGTTATTGTCTCGGTGCTAAAAATAAAGAGGAATTATGGTAAGAGAGCGTATGCACAGTAAGGAGTCACAAGAGTTATGTCAGCTCCCAGTTGTTTCCTCCAGTGTAGCAGCAGCCAGCGCCCCTGCTGTCTGTACAAGAAAGAGTAACAAGCTTACAGCACTGTATTTCCCAGGCGGCCTCCATCCAAGTACCTCCAGGCCCGAACCTGCCTTAGCTCCAGAGCTCCGGACGAGCAATCCGGCCGGGGGCGCTGTCCAGGGCGGTATGCGGTCAAGCGCGACAGGTTCTAATCACGACAACGAGCAATAATTAGGAAGGTGCTGTAATATGACTCAGTGCTTAATCATGTTTCCCATATGTACATTGTTTATAGACAAGACCCTGAATAAGTTGTACAAGTAACTACCTAAAATATCCATGATCAACACACAGTCGGACCTCTCCCCTGTCCCATTCGTCCTTACATTACGCTTCTAGCTATCCCCCATAAGATTAAGAGCAGTTCATCAACACTGTGTGTACCTGATGGCACAGCAGTGTCTTTCCCATGTTAGCCTGCTGGCAGGTGAAACTGCTCTCTAAATTACTTTCATATACTCGTTGAGTAAGTTGTCAATCTGCGAAGATCATCACATATTAAAGTAAGTGAGGGAAAATACGACCGGATTAAAGTACCAAGTACACTCATAAAGTTATACCTTAAATAAAGTAACTGGATAAAATGTATTAGACTGGTACGCTCAGTTGTATTGATGTAATCTGAAAAACCCTTCTTGCCAGATTCTCATAGAACATGTTGTGTTTGTGTTTATGTAAATACCACACAAGAAGTTCTCCGCACACCTTTTAAATACTCCTCCGTTTGTGAATCCTTGAACCTTCCGCTTACAGGCCATACCCACTGACACGCCGCAGTTCGTCCGATCTCCGGCAACGCCTACAGCAGCCGGTCGGGCCTGCGTTAGACTTGGACTGCGGAGACCGCCTGGGAATCACCAGGACGCTGTGATAAGCTTTTACTCTCTCTGTACAGACAGCAGGGCGGCGCTGCTGCTGCCTGCTTGCTTACACACTCGCGATGAACCAACTGGAGCTGACATAACTCTTGTGACTCCTTACTGTTGACCCGCAGAAGTAAGAAAGAGAGTTGAGATAATGCATACTGCAGGCCAACAATCCAAACGAAAAGAAGAAGAAGCAGAAGAAGAAGAAGGAAGAAGAGGTGTTTCACCAAGGAAGAAGTTTAGAAGAATACCACCTAGATACTCACCAGTGGAGCAAGAATAGGATCGGCGTTTTTCCAGTGGCGCGAGGGAATAACTCCTTCTTTACCATCCGATCTCAACTCTCCCATAGAAATCCCGAGACGATTTCACTTGTTGGAGGAACGCACGAAAGAAGACAACGTGTCTCAGATGTTCAATCAATAATCATACAAGCCAACCCCTGATACCATACAAAAAATTCCACAAACACAATTGCACTCGTAATTCAATGTTCTGTGCCTATAACATCTCAACCCGAGGTCTCATAAATGGCCCCACTAACAACATAAACCCAATTTTTATTCCTCTCTGTGCTACGAGTCGTAAGTCGTATTCGTACTGACCGCGAAAACAGGCAATATCTTCCTCACATGTGAACTTATGGACATATAGACACGCTGTAATTCAACCGTCCTGAAAACAAACTATAGTCAAACTAACATAAAATCCATATGCAAATCAGATCCCTGTGCACTATGAGACTTCAAAATTACGTCCTATCCTAAAACCTTAATCACACATCCGAAATGTACTATAGCACTAAACGGCCACACGATGAAAAGTCGGCGTTTCTTGCCCTCCAGGGTATCCATGGTAAACCACCGTGACTGCAAAGTATGAATTGCGATTGGTCGATGAAAAGCCGTACCTAGGAACGCCCAATAGGCGTTCTTGTGTTATGACCGGGAACCGCCCAAGCCGCAGCTGGACCCTTCTCTTCAATCGGAGAGTAGTGTGGTGAGGACATGGACATTTTGAGGGGGAAATGAAACTTTTTTTTCATTGCGAAGGCATTATCGTCCGTGATCGATTATTTGAAAAGGCTGTTGTTTGTCACGTAGGGCCTTGATCATGTTGCACAGACATTTCTAATTACATGCTTGTGGTCTGTTAAGAGGAGCAAAGGCACTCTTTAGAATATGCCCCCAAGAAGTGTATTATAAGACTAAATGGGCTCTGGCCCATTAGCTGAGAATCTCCAGTTTGCTAGAACAATTTCTGGTCGTTAAAGGTTTCTTATCAACAGTACTCGGGGAACTTTCTATGTGATAAACTGGGTAAAAAAATCTGCCGAGATTCCTTTAAACAAACATTTTTATTTTTTTTGCATAAAAATACCTGTGTTGGAAAATCTTAAAAAAGAATTGAAATATCTTGCAAACAAGCTTAGAAGTGAAAGTTAGTAACATGCATTAATGGACGTGAGTGCAGAAAGAGAGGAGGAAAATCTCTCCTCAGACGCCGCGCCGAGACGGCGCCACGGACCGGACCCGGCACCCGGGGAAGGGGGCCCGCGCGGACAGACAACCCCACACAACCCGGCGCCCGGTGGCAGGGCGGGACGGGCACGGGACCACCCGCGGGGCGCCTTGCGCTCGCTGGCATTTTGCCCCCCTGGTCTGCTTCTGTCGCCCCCTCGCGTGAGGCAGGCCGGAGCTGAGAGAGACACAGCGAGGCGCCGCAGCGCGCGAGAGAGAGAGAGAGAGAGAGAGAGAGAGAGCGAGATGAGAGAACAGTTTTAATACAGGTACCAAATATATCATCCTGAACAATTCAACCAAAGTTTTAAAGTGTAGAAGAAACACCATGATGGCCTATAATGAAATGCACTATTAACTACATTGGACACTATTATAGCTACATTCGGAGCACTAACTATATTAGCATTAGACACTACTATAATTACATTTGACCACAAACTTATACTGAAATAAGACACTACTATAATTATGGTTAAACACAAAACTGTACTCCGGATATTAGACAAATATATTATGTTTGCTACCACTATTGATTCAAGACCTAATATAGATACAACACAATTTCAGCTACACTCTTTGGAAAGTGGCCGAACCTGGGAAAAAGACGAAGTGTTTCTGTGGTGGGTGTCCGTGTCACACGACTGCCGGCACAGCTGGAGGCAAGGAGAGAGAGTGCAGGTGATCAATACAGACATGGAGCCACGTAGGACATTATTCAGCTGTACTCTATAATTAACAAAGGTTTTCGTTTCATTTTATTTTCATCCATGTAATAAACTGACGAACCTGCTTTAGGTAAATCACAATTTGAATGGATATTCTATATTTAAAACTGTAACAAATGAACCCACAATATAGTGAACCTCATTAACTGCTAGAAGTTGTGTAAAAAGTGATTTGGGCAGATTATTTCCTAAATTTAGGGGCAAACCCTTTTTATAAATAATCTCCTCCTCTGAAAATATATAGTTTCATTTTTATCATTAGTAACCTGCAAAACCTGCTTAAGGGGTAACATATTTGATGTATATTCTCATGTTTAAAAACTGGTAACCAGCAACGAAAGTGCTGAAATACTATCATGTCCTAAATGTGTATATTCTTTATGTTGTTCTTGCATCTGTTAAAAAAGTCAAAAAAAAAAAAGGCTTTGCGACACCCCCCCTAGAAGCTTTGGCGACCCCCTAGTGGGGGTCCCAAAACGCTCCGGGCTGGGAACGCACTGTAATAAAGGAATACATGCAAAGAGTGGAGACTGAAGAAGAAGTTGAGCTCCCATTGACTATCAATTATGATTACATAATTTCATAGAACTTCCAAAATTCCTAAATCCCCTCCCACTGAGAAAACCAATAGACCCAACAGGTCTAAAATAACTTGCTACCCATCAAACAAAGCACATTAGGCAATGGCTCGCAATGTGTTAGGCAAACTATTTAGCAAACTATACAAGGAGTAATGAACGATACGTTGACCCCCCACAGCATCCCACAGGTGCAAGGACTAAAAGGTAAACCGGTTTCCTGGGTAAGGATTTGGATACCAATCCATATCCCAATACTAGGTACTTGGGTGCCCACCATGTTCCAAACCCTCAGTTTAGTTCAGAACAGGAGATGTGTATCCTGGTCCGCAAACCCAAAGTGCATATCTGGATTTGCCTCCTCCAGATCCAGAAGAAATGTTTTACTTTAAACGTGGAGATTAGGACGTTTTTGATGGCCCCCTGAAAAACAGGAAGATCCGCAGCAATGGAGTTCAAGGTGAATGTAGAGACCAAACGAATAAAGTAAGACTGTTGAAGGACGTGAAGACAAACTATATTCTCTTGTTACCAAAAAGGCTGTTTCCTGCATCAGAAAAGATTGCAGTTAAAACAAGTTGAGGCTGTCACAAAACCGTGTCTTTTTTGTGGGTTATGACCAGTACATACCAACTGTTTTCTTTTGTTATT